TATAAACTCATTTGGCATCTGCGGGGGACCAGCAATCTCACTGGCTCGAGTCAACCCAAGAATCAAGAGATCCAACACAAGCCCATAGTATTGCACAACAAACGATGCAAACTGGAGGCCACGTATAAGGCCATAAGAATTTGTATGACTCATATCCTTGTAGGACAAGACCACATTATTTTTGGCAGTGACATAATCAGCAATGTTGTGGTCGAGTACCAAACGTAGAAGCCTGCAATAGTACAACACAATCACACAAACATGTTAGTAAAATCTTCATGAAGGTCACAAGATGATCTCTGAGCAGTTGAATATGTGCATTTGAAGCATACTTACCTGTTTAACATTGTCAAGTCGATCTTCTCAAAGAACTTCTCAAACTTCGTCTGAAGCATCACTACACACTGCCCATCACTTGTGTCCCATATGCCTTGCAAATTGTTTATTCCTTGACACCATTTATACACCAAGAGAGGGGGAGGCTCTGAATCTGCAGGCTTAATCCAATTTGGGAAGAGATGGCGCTTGTCACCTTCATACCACAAATACTGGTCAAGGTATGCATCCGTAATCTTCTCAAGAGGCTCAATCTCGTACACAGGAATCAGATAACTGTATAAATCCATAAACTCTATGCCAACCTGCCAAAAGAAATTACTCAGTCAGTATAATCTACTACAACAAACAAAAACTCCAAAGGCCAAAATTATAAATTATGTCATATCATTAAAAAAAAAAAATTTACTTCTTTGAAGGCACGTTGGGTAAGCAAATGACGCTTAATTCGTGACAATGCCTCGTGTGGGTTATCATAAGCTTGTTCAATGAGGCCCAGCTCTTCCCTTTGAAGTTGGTTTAATCTTACAGCCACGCTGTAAGATTCCTTCAGCCTCTCCAGAGCAAGGATGAGCAACTTCGTGTCATGCTTGTAAGACAAGGGAGGAAAGGGAATTGGAGTGAACTTTCTCGATTCCAACCAGTGCACAGTTGTCGTGTAGATAGCAACTGCTTCTTCTGGAGTGACATAAGGACCATCCTTCAAATAATTGTGTTGACGCTCCTACAGTGGGTTGCAAATTAAGAGTTATTAGGAGGTAACAAACAAGTAGGCATCCTCTGATAATATAGACTAGATGACTTATAAAGCACAATGACACTTATATACCATAATACGTCATATTTTTGAGAATAGAATACTTCATTAAGTTTTACAATTTCTACCTGTTCGGCCTTTAGCCAAAGGCGAGTCAACCTTCCAAGATTCTTTCGACAGACAGTCTTATCAACCGTTGCACCTCTTCTTATACGTTCACGATTGTAATGCGCGACGTTCGTCCACCAGTCTGCCTTTGACTTGACATAGCGAAGAATCATATTCTCGATGGGAACGGGTAAACCAGGAACCTACAGGTTACAACAGTGAGAAAATATAACAGCCATGTGAGAGGGAGAAAAATTATATTATACAAAACTTATGAAAGGAAACAAATATTACGCAACGTTATGAGAAAATAAATATACATACATATATTATTAAACATTCTCTTCATAGGAAATTTGTATGAAACCTAATATTATCAGTACCTTCCAAGGAATATTTGCTTTCCAACAGCGCCAGGCTTCACTTAGATGCTGCAATATAGTTCTCGCCTTATTTTGCTTAATGCCCTCTGTCAATTAACAACAAATTTTTGTTACAAGAAAATATTTTAAGATTAACAACAAAATATTAACCCAAAGGAACACATAATTTATATACTGAGAAGCAATTCAGAAAGAAGAAGTCGTCAATGCCAGGAAAAATCATGTAAATATTAAGAGATGATCACCTGGCATGGCATCAAGAACATCATGCATAACAGCAGCTCGAAGCTCCAAATCAAAGTGGCTCTCAACACGCTGCTTAGTTACAGTTTTGGCCACCCCCTTTGAGTGACGACCTTCAAATTGTCGTGCAAGTAGATTTCCTAACCACCGTTCCAAAAGAGGCACTATACCACGAAGAAAAAATAACCACACCCTCCACATCGGTGCCCAAAACCCACATCCAGGTCCTTTCCCAACCGGGCCCGTGTTGAACCGGTAATAGATCAAGTGCTTCAAATCTTTGCACATTCTAATCTGTCGCATCAGCCTGTACTTGTAACGATACATACCGGTTAACTGCCCCACGTGAGAAAATGTATACTGCAGGCCATCAGCCAATTGGAAGGCATCCACATTTCCCAACCGGAACTGGATATTAGCATCAACTACAAGCTTTGTCAAACGCAAAATTTCACGACAAAGATGGAAAGCATTCCCAAACCGAGACTTCTTTCGTTCTTTTGTCGTCAGGGTTTTGACAGGCTTCAGATTGAAATTGTAATCAAGGTGAAGGTAATTCAAGTTCTTCCGATGAATCAAGAGATTCAACATGTTATACCCTTGCTTACAAACTTGAAGACCTGCTTCAGCCCAGTCAAGTTCTGTAGTTTGAAAAAACTTTGTAGCTTGAAGAGACCGAAATAGATGCTTCTTCTTTTGAGCCTTGGGTGGCCTGTGATGCAACTCGTTCAGCACAAAACATTTCAATAGCTTCTGATAACTAACCCGCACTTTAACCGGATACGAAGGGGGACTGCAAAATACAACCAGCAAAAAAATTCAGATCAAACTTAGCGGTCTAGGTAAATTTCATTTCAGAAAAGATAGAGAAGAAAACAAAAACAAAAACAAAAACAAAACAAAAAAACTCTTACCAATGCTCTTTGTACCACTCTGACACGAGAGGTATGTCTTCTGCTCGACGCATCCTACCAGATCTCATGTTAAAAGGGCGCGGGGCAAACAGAAGGGAGATTCCAGCAGCTGTGGTGTCAGTGTACAGCTGCGTATCTTTTAGGAATGGTTCTACCCCTTCCGGCAAAAGGAAGTCATCATCGTCCTCATCATCATATACTTTCTTCTCTCGCCGATCCTTATTAGTGCTGGGTATTGGGTGTATTAATGGATCATAGTAAAATGCAGGTAAATCAGGATCCTCAGTTTTTATGTACATAACCATGGGAGTGTGGTAAACCCCAAGCTTTACCTTCCTGGGCCTGTTGTTATATAGATGAGGGAATGCAATTCTATACTCCGTCCTGAGAGGTGACCGGATAATGAGTTTGTTAATGTCATTGAACTCATTCCAGTCCTCGTCACCTTTCTCCATGTCACGGTACAAGGGCTCAAATTTTGGACCACCTGCACAAATGGAATAGAGTAAGGCTCAAAACTGATGCAACAACTCATAATCAGTATAAATTTACTACCAAACTCCAAGCTCACAGCAACCATATTTCAACAATAGGAAGAAAGTAGGAAACTAACCAGGTATGCACATATTCAGTGCTTTGGCTGTAAAAAAGGACTCCATGTCAAATAAGTAGAAATAATTGCGGTCAATCAAATCCGAAAGTAGCTGTCCTGCAAGCCGGTGAAGAGTTGCCATGATTGGAAGGGAAAGATGCCATTTCCGGTAACTGGGACCATTAATTAGCTTCGTTTTAACAAGAGGCTTATGGTCGTAGAACCAAGTATATACAGCAGAATCTTCTTCTTCATCCATTTCTAACTGAATAGGCTCCAGAGGATCAACATCCAATAGATTGTCAGCATAGTCCAAAGGAGGTTCCTCATCATCGAATGGTGGAAACCGCATTCTCTTGAAATGCCGACGATCCCTCTTCTCCCTTCTCATCATGATCCACATCGTACCCCACTGTCGAGAATTGAAGAATAAGTACATTGATCACCGCAAAAAGATATAGAGAGAGGATGTATTTGGTTAGCATTTTAAAAAAAAAAGGGGCAAATAGAGATTTAAAAAAAAAAGAATAAGATAGGACAAATACCTGCGCCAAATATATAGGTTCAACAACCCATGGAATCTCGTTCACAAACGTAATTGCCCCAGTTATGTGGTACAGAACCTTCACGTCTCGGACCTGTTATTGCGTAATTATATCAAATGAGCTTGAATCTACAAGGAAAAATTTAATAGCATCCCAAGTAAGATTTGTATAAAGGTATGAAAAGGAAACATAATGGATACCTGCTCCCAGGGCATGGGCATGTTCTCAAGGAGCTTGTAAACTGCATGAGGAATAAATTTGAGCGCTCCAAGATATACTCGTTTATCATGACGATATTTCTTCGAGGACATGTCCCCATGGTCTCTGTCAATTTAAACAAGTTAGCTTACAACAGTTTATCCATCAAAATAGACAGAGTTAAAAAAAACCCCCCGAGAAACCCAAACGAAAAAACATTGGCGGTTCCTTTCAATGGAATGGAATTCCGATTAAATTTTCATCCAGATAACGAAAAAAGAAAATCTTGAGAAATCTTGTCTTGGGTTTTCCTTCTTTATAGATTGTTACTTCATCAATCAAGCAACAACATAGGAAAATTTATCAATTATCCTCCTATTAAAGCTAAAACAAACACAAAAAAGAACCCAAAGCTCACCTAATGATCTTCCTGACATGCTCGGGAGGCATATCTTCCTTCTGGGTCTCTACGAACCCGAACTTCCTCTTATCGCTGTATCGTTTCGAATTGAGCTGCTGCCATTTTCTGGCCTTCTCTTCGAGCTTGGCCTCGGCTTCCGCCGGAGATGGCAACACAGTATAAGACGGTTGGGCGGCCGCCGGCGGCGGAATGGACGAGCCACCGGTGCCCGGCGGCGCAATCTGGCCGTTGTTCCACATTTTTAGGAAACCTAATCTAGTAAAAGCTTAAACACCATAAACCCCTCCAGATCGGTTAAGCTGCGAGTCTTCTTGTACAGAGATTGCGAAGAAGACGATGGAGATATGAAGAAAATTTGAGAAGTTGCAATGGCGGTTTCTAGGGTTTTGGAGGTTTTCTCTCTCCTTGGTCACTACTCACTAGCGACTAGCTAAGGAGGTGATGAGAGATCGGATTTGGGTGGGGGCTTGAGGTTTTGGTTTATAAATTGTGAGGAGCAGAAAATGGCGGTGGCACGTGACAAGAACGTCGAGGACGCCTTTACCTGTGGGCCTTTATGGGCCGCATTCATAAGTGAGCTTATTCTCAAGCCCAATATTAATGGTACATTTTCGACTCTAGATTAGAAGGGGCTTAAATAATAGGGAGAGAGAGAGAAATAGGTTAAGATTTGAGATTAATTAAAATTAATAAGTTAATAATTTATATAAGTTAATAAATAGGTTAAATTATTATTTTTGTCTATAACTTATCTGGTTATGAACCGTAACTTGACAAGTTATTGTCCATAATTCACGATTTTTATCAATAACTTGTCTGATCATAACTTATCTGGTTATGAACCATAACTTGATAAATTATGGCCTATTAATTTTTATAACTAAAAATTGGCCTATATACTTTCTTAAGCTTTTCATATTGGCCTATTTTCTACTATTCCCTAAATAATATTGTTGAAGTTTGTAAATATTCTACATATAAATGTATAATGATATTATTAACTTTAATAATGATATTAAGATTTTTAAATTTTTATTTTATAGAAAACTTTATTAATAATATTAATATTTTTAAAATTTTATTTTATAGACTAGTATTTAACGTTTATATTATTTAATGATAATTTGTGGGATTGTTAACCGTTTTAAACATTTCAAATCACTAAAAATTGATATTAAATTATCATTATTATATACTCATTATTTAAATTAAGTTCAAATATTGACAATATAATTATTAACTTAATAGCATTTTACTACTACATGTCATTAAAATACTAGCAATATAATTATGTAGTTGATGAGAAACTATATTTGTAAAAATCACAATTTCATTAAAATAACGACAATATAAGTATAAAAATATTCAGACCAAATAACAACAGTTAACGTAAAACAAAACTATTACATATCATTATAATAATGACAATATCATTAACATGTAAAATTGGGCGATACGTCAGGAATGTGAGTTTTCTATTTATCTTAACCATCTTGGTATATAAATTAGATAATAAGGAAATGACAATGTATAAACGAAACAAGAACAAATAAATAGTAAACTATATGTGATATAATGAGTTAACGTGTTAAAGTAATTCAAAATCTAGATGTGGATTATTTTGTTTATCAATTCAATTGCGAGAAAAATATGGGAGGTAGTTAGGTACCAACAAAAACACAACAAAATACGGGGGTATTTTAAGGGTCTCAAAACATGTAATTCAAAAAATAAGCCATGTAAGTGATATTTCTAAAAGTAAGTCAAATTTGTATTCCTCTTAAAAAACAATAATATCGTGTAATTTTTAACACAACTATAAGTATTTATACAAAACGACCACTTTAATACTCCATGTTTAGAATTTGTCTTTAATTTAACAATGTTATTAATTTGGCTATATTATAATTATTGAGATAATATTATTTCAAGTATACTCTTTTTGTGTGGGTGGTCATGAGTAGTTAATAAAGGATATGAATGTTATTACTGATTATTTTATAGACTTATGTATAAATATCACAACTTTAGACATTCATTTTTTCAATTCATGCGGAATGGACATATATGTAATTAACTCCACATATTAATGAGGGTCACATTTATATAATTCTCACAAATATAAGAGTATGAATTTGAATTTTTAAAAATTTAATAAATACATAGAAGTGAAAAAAAATCTCTAGCGCTCCGTAGGCCCAAGCTCCCTTCACCAATACAGTTTAAAAAATAAAAAATAAAAAATGATAGGCTTTATTTTTTTCACAACTCAAATTTTATTATTATAGTGTTTTCTCTCTGTTTTTTTTTTTTAAAAAAGGAAACTAATTTTTAAACCAATCAACTAGTCCAAGGGCTACAGAATTAACGACAAGTCGTTTATATGTAAATATAAGACGACAAACACCTAAATAACGACAATGGTATTGAAAAATGACAGCAAAATGAAGAATGACAATGAAGATCCCATGTGATTTTCCTTTCGATTATATGAACTATTTTGGTTAACATGTCGTTTGCCTTCATAATTTGGATAATGGATATCGTTCGTCAATAAAACAGCACGTCTATTTTTGTCTTAAATGTTTTTCTGTTGTCAGTTGTTTTATTGACAAACGGCGTCAAACTTATGAAGGTAAAATTTTATATCCTTTATCCACGTTTACGACTTGGCCCCATCTCAATCTGTTGATGTTATTGAAAATGTAAACGGCATGTCGTTTTTTGGTATAGCATGTCTTGCTAAAGATCCAGTATTTAAATTGAAATTTCAAATTATTTGGTTTGAGTTCAAACCAAACAAACATATGTGAGAGCGTTGAAAAAATATTCGCTTAATTCTAAATCTCCATATTCAAGCATAAAGCCATACATATTCATCGACATAATTACATAAATATATTACATACAAACATATATCACCCACACACACACACACGAGATATGTGACTTTTTTACTAAATTAAAGAAAAGAAAAAGGGGGGGCTTGACTATATTAAAAGGTCTTTTTTCCAAAAAGGAAAGGAATCTTATTACCCCTTTTCTAATAAGCTGTCTTATTAATATTTTCTTTTCTTTTTCTTTTTTCTTTTTTTTTTTTTTTAAATAATGGCCTTGTTAGTTGTTACTCCCTTTTCTTTTGAAAAGAAACTTATAATAACCGGAAGCATTAAAAAAAAAAAAAAAAAACCAAATGCATTTCCTTATTTGCCTTAACTAGGGCATAAAAACAGTTCAATATCAGCATACAACGAATGCATTACGAAAGACAAGACAGGATTCTTAAATCTATTTGTCATATCAAACATCTCCAATACGCTAGAATATCTAATTAGTGACAATTGTGTTTCAGATATTGCCCGATCAGTTATGAAGAAGCAATTCTACCCCTTAGATTTGGTGGGTCTTTCAATCCAATGCCTAGGACAAGTTATAATAGCAAAACTTATCCAAAGCTGCTCAGTGCCTCTGAGAGAAATTTAGAGGCAACCCCTTTTGTAGCGTCCACAAATCTCAATCAACGTTATTGTCATTGTCTTAGCTGTGGCAGGCAAGTCCAGAATCTACGTCAGAGATCCCAATTGCTACAATGCTTCCCAAATTGGATGTCAACTGTCAAATTTCCAAACTTAATTCCTAAGCGCTAGTTTAGTAACCAGCAGTACTAGCACTGGTACTTTGCACAATATATATCCATATATGTAACATCTCTGTCTTCGATCTTCATTATCTTTCAAGCGAATAATTTGGACAAACAGGAAAAAGTCCAAGTCATGGCCTAATATATAGGACCCATTTCCAATAACCCTTTATCCAAAATATCTCCTTTTAGGCTGTAAATTAAAAATTGGTCTCAATTAAGTGACAGATAAAAAGGGGGGGGCTTTAGCAGACCTTTCTACAGGCTTTTAGTGCACTCGATCGGTTCGGAGCCTTATTAAAAGGTATATGCGTGTTTTGGATTGCGATTGCAATTAGTCATCCTGATCTCTCTCTCTCTCTCTCTCTCTCTCTCTCTCTCTTTCTCTTCTCTCTCTCTCTCTCTCTCTCTCTCTCTCTCTCTCTCTCTCTCTCTCTCTCTCTCTCTCTCTCTCTCTCTCTCCATATAAATATGTATATATGTGTGTGTAATGCCCCCTTCAATATATATACACTAAACATTATATATATAATGAAAGTTTTAGATGTATTTTAAGGGAAGTAACAAGTGATTGACGAAAGCGATGTTGGCGAGGTTCAATCTGAGGTTGTATTTATGCAATTAAAGCATAGGAATTGATCTCAGATTGAGCCGCGCCAATATCACTTCCCATGTGATCATCTCATGATGTGTATTAATGTATGCTGCATATGGTCATTATCAGCCCCTGGTTTTTTCTACTCAAACAGCTTCATCTGATGCTCTTGTTCTCGTCAAATTAAGCTGGCTATTGCATGGACGGATGTGATGTGATTCATAAGCTACGGTAAAAGTGGCATTATCTCTTTATAATTTTTTTAATCTGGTCATTGTTTATGAGTCTGAACGTCTCTTCATTGTCTTCATCATCATAAACATATGCACGAGGAATCTACATCCCCGCTCCGCCGGCAACGGTCACCGTGACGGTGTCAGTGGCGATGAGAACAGCAAAAACAAGTTCATTTGTATGTTCACTACCATAGATATTTTTAATTCAAGTTTATGACGTCTTTATGTTGTTTTTGTCCTGATGTGGCTGTGCCCTTCGAGTTAACGCCGTTTACAGAATTTATGTCCTTACTCCTTTTGAAAAAACAAAAAAACAAAAAAAATATTGTCGTTTCCATGTGATGTCTTCGATGTTGTTTCCACGTCCATGTGATGTTGGTTTTGCTTATCAGATGATGTCATTCATTATGCTATAGGACTTTTCTTTTTTCTAATTGATTGTCGTTTATTTAGTTCTCACTCTATTTCCATCTTTTCCATTTACTTAGTGATGTCGTTTCTATGTTTAGATAATTTGTGTGTGTTTGGAACTCTTCTTGAAAACGTTTTTCACGTTTTTCGTAGAGCCAAAACGGAAAATGGTCTGAAAATCACGTTTGGAGCCACATTTTCCAAAAACAAAAACACCAGTTTCATTTCTCGGCTTGTCTCCGGCTTTTTGAAAACGCATTTTTATTAGGCACGTTTATAAAATTCAATCTAAAATAATTTTATTTTTTTTTTTTGTATGAAAGTGAAAACAAAAATATTTTTAAGTTCAGATAAAAAATATTTTTAAAAATACATTTAATAATTTTATTAATAGATTATTTTCAGTATAAAAAATTCATTAATTTTTTTTTCTCTTTCTGCTCGAGAGAAAAAAAAGAAAAATAAAAAATAAAAAACAATGGTCTTATTTATTTCTGTTTTTATTTTCATTTCTCACAAATTTCAAAATTAAAAAATAAAAACACTTCCGTAAAATGTGTTTGGTACAAAACTTTTTAAAAAATAAAAACAAAAACATTTTTATTTTTTTTTTAAATCTAAAAATGATATAATATCATTTTCATTTTCTCCTTTTCATTTTCTCACTTCTTTGTGTGCAGGGAAGAGGGGAGAGCTGCAGCCATTGGAGCCTGATTGGAACAAATTTTTCTACGAAGGAAACGACGACGGAGACAATAATCGCCAAGTTGGTAGATCCTCAAATCGTGCTCCCATGGAAGATTCCAGCAGTCCTTATTACTTGCACAATGGAGATCACTCAAGTTTGTCGCTGGTTTCTCATCAGCTCACCGGGCCAAATTAAACACATGGAGCCGCTCAATGATCTCGGCGCTGGCTGCCAAAAACTAGATCTACTTCAATGACGGATGTATTCCTCAACCAGAGACTAACGATATGCTCTATGGAGTTATATATTTAATAATATTATTTATTTAATATATTTAATAATATTATTTATTTAATATATTATTATTTTAAATATTATTACATGTTTTTAAAAATTAAACCACTGCGTTTCAATTTTTTTTAAAATTAGAATCAATCTCTAAATAAAATTACCAAACGCATTTACAGAAATAATTCCAAAATGAAAATAAAAACGTTTTCATTTCTATTTTCATATAAAAAATAAAATTATTTTGAAACTAATTCTAAACGCACTAAATTTTTTTTATTTCTCTCTTATTTTACATTAAACTAAAATATCATTTTTATTTTTATTACGTCAAAGTCAAACACCGTTTTAAAAATATTTTTATTTTTATTTTTTAAAAAAATATAAAAAATAAAAATGAAATCAATTGCCGTTTTCTTTTTTCTTGTTTTCATTTTCTCCTTCCTATTTCCTTCCGCTCCTCTCCAAAATCGCTAATAAATTTTTTTGATAATTCTGGGTTAATTTTTTTTTCCTACCCTAGATCTGATTTGGTAAGTGTTCCGAAATCAATCCTCTTTCCTGTCTTCTCTTCTCTTTCCATCTCTTCTTCCTTATTGTACAACGCACTTTCTCGGAAAATTTTTGAACTTTCTAGGTCAGGCCGAGAAAACAAAAGAATCAAAGAGAGAGAGAGAGAGAGAAAGCGTTGATTTTTTTCTTCTGGTAGTGAAAGATGATTTTTTTCTTCTGGTACTGAAAACACTGTAGACAATCGTGTTTAGTGAATTGTTGGAAACAGAGAGAGAGAAAGAGACGGAGATAAGAGAGAAGAGAGTCAATCCTTCTTCTACTTTTCTTCTTTGAGTCAATCCTTCTTCTACTTTTCTTCTTTATTAATGGAAGAACGGTTATTGGGTGTTAGAATAACACAACTAGCAATCTTTAATAGAATATAAGCCTTTTTGTCCCTTTCAATTTGGTCGCATATATAATACACATATACACACACCTACAGATATAAGTGTACATTATACATATTCAGAGAGTGTGAAAGGTTACTATTCATTATATAGTATTATTATGAAGTGTTATGAACAGTAGAATTCCGTTTTTAACCTCTTAAATGTATATTTACAAATTTACCCTTATCCTTTCTCCATTTTGCTGCTTGCCCAGTGAGCTTTTTCGCCATTTGCTCGGTATTGGAGTCCTAATTTCGATTCTCCTTCGAGGTATCCATTGTGTCTGCCGTTTGGTTCATTTTGTGTTAGTTATTTTCCACTATGACTTCAATTGTTTTCGGCGCTTTTTCTTGCCATTACAGCGCTAATTTTTTTTTCTCTTTGGTGGGTCTTATTTGTGTTGCTGATTTGGTCGTTTTGTTGGCCATTACAGCCCTAATTTTTATTTCTTTTATGTGGGTTTCATTAAAAATTATTGATCCTTCGGTTGATGTTATAAATTTTTTTGGCTTTCCTGTTTGATTCCGGTACAGATGCTAATCTTCTGTCTTTTTTTCTTAATTTTTTGGTTATTTTGATTTCTTTCTTTGTTTTAGTTTTCCCTTTGGTTTCCGTTTTTTTTCCTCTTCTTCTTTTAGTTTTAGCTGAATCTTTTCCCTTAAGAAAAGGAAAAAAAACAGTGCTTTTATTTATTTTGTTTACGGTTTTAGTATTTTGTGTGTTTTTTTTCCTGCTGAGGTTGATTTTAAATGTTCAGTAACTGAATCTTGATTTTTTTTTTCTTCACATTTATTATACTGATGATCTATATTGTCTATATTGACTGTTTGCCTCTGTAGAATGATGATATATTCATTTTTTTACTTTTCTCCGGATCGACCTACCTCTACTCATGTTGATTTCATATGCTCTATAAGTGAATCTTCACTTTTTTTTCTCTATGTATTTATTATGGTGATGATCTGTAGAATGCATGTTGGTTATTTGGTTTCGTATGTTAATAGTCTGTACTAAATCTTCTAAAGAGGTATTAAATGATTTTTTTGCCCTTTTTAACTTCATTATTTCAAGTGTGAAAAAAAAAAATTAATGGCAAAAATTTTTAGAGCTTTTTTAATTTTGTCTGTGATGTTTCTGTGAGATGGCTATTATCTTACCTAATTTTTTCTTTTCCTTCCCCTTTACTGTAACAATATACCATATTTATCATTTGACTAAAGACTTTGAGTAATTTAGTTCCTGTAAATTAATATTGGCCCGTTGTATGTGTAACATTATAATAGGTTTTGTACTGTTCATTTACATAAACCTTTTTAATAGATCTTTAAACAAAGATATATATGTGTATGTATGTATATATAAATTAATACTGTAATGTAAAAATTTATGACTTACTCTATAATATAACAATTTTCCCGCAGGGAAAAAATACTAGTTATATCTATAGGTGTGGGCGTTGGAGAGTTTATTAATTATTTAATATATTATTTAAAATACTATTAGATGTTTTTAAAAATGTATAACCAAATGGAGTTTCAGTTTTTTCTTATGCTGAAAACAATCTCTCAATGAAATACTAAACACATTTTCAGAAATGATTTATGCCTAAGATTGAAAACGTTTTCATTCTTATTTTCATACACAAAATGAGATCATTTTAGAACGAGTTCCAAACGCGCACTTTATATCGTGATTATAGTTTTCTCTACTTACTATGTCCTTTCCATTTCAATGTAATGTATTTTGCGTCGTTAGTCATATCCTCGTTTATTTCGCTGATTCGAGTTTAAAATTTAAATTTTGTTACAATAAAAGCTCTCACAAATAATCACATATAACTTTTTTATTACAGTAAAAAGCTCTCACATAAAGTCACATCTTAACTCGAATCAGCGAGTTAAACGGGCCCTTAATTATTATTACTGGACGTTTGGTTTACATATTCATAATCATGATTCAGAACCATTATCGGTTTATATGTATTTTTTATGAGAGAAAATACTGTAACGAATTACGAACCATGATTCGAATCATAACACACGAATCTTCGTATCAAACACTCGTTGTTCCCCCCTCCCCCTCTTATGTTTTTTTTCTTTTCCCCCCGCTTATGTTTTTTTTCTTTTGCTTTACGTTTTCGTCTTTTTTTTTTGTGCCTTTATTGTTGATGTCGTTTGTTTGGTATATTGTCATTTTTATCTTGTCGTTGTTCTATTTTTTATAGCTTTCTATCCGGTGTCGTTTTTATCTTTTCTCGTCTTCATTGGTGATGTGTTACGTATTTGCATTCTCACTCCAGGTAGCTTTCGGACTTGTTCAGTTTTATTTTTGAGTTATAGTAATTTTAGTGTAGATATTGAGTTAAAGTTATAACTTAAATTTATATTTAATTGTGTATATTTGAGTTATAGTTTGAGATAAGAATCTTTTTAAGTTTGTATTTAGATGGGTTAAAACTGAGTTTGTATTTAAATAGTATTTTAATAAAAATTTAATGATAATGAAAAATTTTAATAATATATATGAGTAACGTTTTATTTACCTTTTCGTTGTGAACGTATAAAAAAGAATCATCTCAATCAGAATTAAAACGAAAAAATTATAATATTTTTAAGAATATAAATTTGAGTTGAAAGAAAAATTTAAACTTAAATTTTAACTCTAAATTAAAATTAAAATTCAAGTTAAAATTTAAATTAAAACTTAAATTTAAAGAATATAAACTTAATAAAATTGTAATTTGATTATAAATTTTGTTTGAGTTTGGGGTTGTTCGTTTTTCCTGAATGCTTCAGGTAGCATTTCTAATTTAATGAACACGCATTCTCTGCTGACTGACAGAACGGCCCAATACGGCCCGAGCGCAGAATATATCCATTGCCTCGGTATACAATCCCATTCCCAACTCTGTTTGGGGTAAAAACACGCGCTCGTTTAACCCACTGACAGTAATGACAAATCAGCAACTTATTCGCGTGTACAACTCTCGCGAGTATATAGCAACTTCGCAAAATTGCCCCCAGTGAATCTCAACGGTCTTTCCGATTTCAAAGCCCAAACCAAAACCAGCACAGTCCAAACAAGTCCCTCCAAGAGCTCTTCGTCCATTTTTTTTTTTTCTTTTACGGGACTCTCCAATTTTCTCTGCAACGAAAACCCTAAAATATAAATATATAGAATAACTCAAGGAATAATACTGAGCTAGAAATACTTTTTTTTTTCCAATTTTTTTTTTCTTTTTTGTGTTCGTAAATCGTAAGGGAAGATTTTGAAGTTTGAAGTGTGAAGGTTATTATGAGAATCAACGGGGTTCTAGAGGCTAGGCACAATAGTAATGGTAGTAATCTGAAGGTTTTGATAGAGAGACGGTGTTTGGCTCCTCTGACTTTAAACGACGACGTTTCTCGCTACCAGAAACTTCCTCAGCTTCAGCACCTCAAACTCTCTGTTCTCAAGCTCGATGGCTCTGTCTTTGGTGACTCTCTATTTTTCTTTTTCTTTTCAAAATTTGTTTCAGGTTTTTGGTTAAGATTTTTTTTCCCTTAAATGTATTTTCTCCGTTTAAAATCGCAATATTTCGGGAAATTTGATAAGCAATTACGTGAAAGGAAACCATTTTTGCTTGCAATTTGTGTTGAGTTTCTTGGGTTTTCGTCTCACAGAAGTGCAAGTTGTGAAGAGTGCTACTGTGGCAGAGCTCAAAAGTGCCATAGAAGAATTTTTTAGTTCATTGCCAAAGGAAGGTCAAGACAAGATATCTTGGTAAAAGTATAACTTCTCTTTAATTAAGAAAAAAAATACCAATAACAATTTCATAAGTTTTCAGAGAAATTTTGGTTATGTTGAACTTAAATTCTCTTGCCTACTAAAAGCATTGTGCATATAATTAGGTCATTAGTGTGGGGACACTTCTGCTTGTGCTACGAAGGGCAGAAGCTAATCAATGACAAATCAAACATTCGGAATTATGGGATCAAGGAAGGTGATCAGGTAAATTTGCAGATATTATTAGTTTTATTCTAATGTTAGCCAAAAATATCTGAAAATTGAGCTTCCAATTAGACTCAAGTTTTATTTCTGAATTAAAATCCTATAATTGCTTCTTTTGCTACCGTAGATCTCGTGATCTTTGTGTTGCTTTTATCTATTCTTTTGGCGATTCCTTAGTTTTCTCAAAAGGAAAAAAAAAAAGAAGAAGAATAACATACCCTTTTCTTTTACTTATTCCATAACCATACCATTATGTGTGGCAAATTAGTGAGCATTCTTTTCGTACTCCATTTTCAGCAAGTTTTTATGTGGGTCTGAAATTTTCCTTAATTGACTTTTTTTTTTTTAAACTTCCATGGAATGTGGGACTTTTTAGATATACCCTGCTGCCAAGCAAAGTTCTTATGCTTTGATTTCATGATGCTGCAGCTCCAATTCATTAGGCATATGTCCATCAACTATTCACCATTTAAGAAAAGACCAAAGAAAGAGAACACTTCTTGCAAAAAGGACTTGTTAATGTAAGAATCTCTCGTAAGCTCTTCTTTTATGCATGCAAACTTTTTTCATTTACGTTTCTATACCAACGTCTCTATTGCATGATCACCAAAGGAGAAAAAAATAAACCAACAAGGTAGTAAAAAGTGCAAAATTTTTGGGATAGAAAAAAAAATGTTAATAAGAGAAGTTGCTTTTTCTCTGCACGTGCATTTTATGGTTCATACATAGTGATTCCTAAAAAACCGGGACTAAAATTTCTTTGAACATAGGTTGTCGTCGGGATCAAATGCTTGTGAAGAGAGTGAACAGAATGGAATGAATGTTGGTAAAGAAAGCAAGGAAATTGATAAAGAGGAAGAAAATGGTGCGGCTCAGTTCAAGATGGCCCATTTCTTGAGAGGTTTGCTTTCGTATTCCAAGCTGCGGGGGTTTTCTAGAGGAGGAGGATCATCAGACTGCAGGACAAGCCGTCCTACAAGATTCGCTTTGCAATTCTTGAGAACCTAGAATGATTTTAGATGGTAGAGAAGAATCACTAATTACAGTGACTTAGGAATCTAATTCTTCAGAATTTGATTAGATCAATCAAACCTGTTTGATTGAGAAGGATGTTCATGAATTCATTGGCTCAAAGTTTGTATATGTTTGACGCAGTGGAACGTTGGAACCTGATTTGGCAGCACAAACTATATATATATATAGACGAGTTTTTAATGGTTACATTTTTATGAGTAGTTGATCGCTAAATATAAAAATTTAATTATGTAACATGATAAAAATATATATATCGAGTTGATTTGATTGCGTAATTTCTCAAACTAAAAAAGATGCAAACAATATTATAAAAGGGCTGTGACTTTACAACTTCCAAGCAAAAGAAAAAAAAACGTATGATATACTTTCAAACTTCAAAAAAGTTTCAATGTCGTGAATTATATTAGAAAAATGATAATGCTTAGTCTCGTTTATTTTCTCGATTTGAGTTTTGTTATAGTAAAATATTTTTAAAAAAATTATGTCTAATTTTTTTACTACAATAAAAAATTATCGTATAAAGTCACGTATCAACTCAAATTAAAAATTCGAATAAACGAAGTAAACGAGCCTTTTTTTATAATTACGGATCGTTTGATGGTACTGGGAGTTTACAACTACTGAGTGTGATTGTGCAAGTGTTCGAAAATTCCAAGCAAAACTTGCAGAAAAAGTTCCAAGAAATATTTGACAAATTATCCAATTAATATATTTTTTTTTATTCAGAAAATAAAATCAGTAAGCGTCTGTTTGATTAGACAACTCAATTCAGTTCAGTCTAATTCAGTCCAAACTACAATTAAAGATAGAGCATTAATTTGAATTGAATGAGCCATTTAATTTAAACTGAAATGGCTCAATTCTGGATTCAACTCCTCCCTTCAATTCATCAATTTAAACCAATTTTCTACAGTAAAATCACTCCCCCGTCTTAATTTTGACTGTTCTTATACAGTTTAGAGATTCCCTCCCATGTGCTCTGCACCTCTCCACTTTTGTTTTTGGACTTTTTCTCTTTTTATGGTTATTTGCTCTGCGCCTCTCCAATCTTCACGTCCAACCATACTACCATTCCTTCTTATGCATTATCAAGTACAAAAAAAAAAAAATATTTTCGTTCCCATTAAAACACCATATGCAAACGAATACCCAATAAAAATTCCATGTTACGTAATGTCATTTCTTATTTTTAACGTCATAAAAGTATTTTTTTTAACTCACTTACCACTAATTTCATAATTAGAATTATTTTTAATCCAAATGTCAGTTCAAATTTATAAGACTCATTTAAAAGTTAATTCGAATTATATTTTCTGTTCGAATTAAGATTTTAAATGCACAACGAAACGTCAGTTTAAATCCGTTTAAACCACTATATTAGAATTTTTCTCTTTAAATAAAAAAAAATTCACATCAACACAATTTAAATCAGTGAACTAAACGAGACTAAATAAATACGTAATTAATGACTCGTTTAGTTCATTAATTTAAATTTTTAATTCGAGTCGAGATGTGACTTTATATAAATTTTTTTTACTGTAATAAAAAAATTAAATGTGACTGTTTTTAAAAACATTTTATTATAATAAAATTTAAATTTTAAACTTAAATAGTAAAATAAATAGGGTATGAGATTTTTCAGTTCTCAATTTATAAGAGGAAAAACCGAAAAAAAGACTCACCAAAGACAAATTCGAAAAACCCCACAAAGTCCCTCCCCACAAATATCTGGAACCAAAACAGTCACCCAGACCGCTCGGGAGTTTGGTTGCACATTCGGTTTAAGAGATGACACGTGTCACCCTGATACGAAGACTTAGAGACACGTGTTCCTAAATAAAACCTCCACGTGGAACCTTGATGGCGCGTTGGTCAGATGAGTGAGGGGATGCACCAAGATCCTGTATCTCCTCGCGTAAGATTTCTGTACTCACAGAAATCTCGAAAATATAAAGAGAACATAAATAAATGGTAAAAAAGTTGGGCAGAATTTCTGGGTAAACTTCGTCACCCGGAACCAGAGGTTGCAGAGGCTCTCTCTCCTGGTAAGTTTGTTTACAAGCGTTTGGCTGCCCAGAAACAGAGGGAAATTAAAAGAGAAAATAGTTAGCTTCTGTTTTCGACTCCCTTTTACAATAAAGTATGTGGGATTTGAAGAAACAAAACTTTCTCTTGCTTTAGCGAACAGTACTCTTTACTGTTTAGTTGAGTAACAAAAGTCTCTCTTGAGCTAAAAACACACAGATATCGATTTCTCTGTTTTTATTGATTTATTCGTTCTTTCATTTTCTCAGCAACCAAACGGTGTGTTGACTTTTCCGTTACTTGGGACCTTTTTTCTTTTTTTCCTTCTCTATCTTCGTTTTTGATTTCTATGTTTGCTGTTGGGATATGAAGTTCTCAACGCATGAATGATTGATAAAGAAAATATTAACCTAATCAGAATTGAGAAATTCTAGATTCTGATGGAGTTTATTCATCTAATTCGTCCTCCAATTGTAGAAAGCGAACTAGATTAGCTATTTGCTAGCTTTTCTCACTACCACAGGATCGAAATTCGAAAGGATTTGAATTTTTTAATCCCATGTCAGCTTTTAGTGGAGTGCATAATCTTAGGAGATTTTTAATAATTGGTGCCGATTTATGGATATCAAATTCATTTTATTGGGATTAATCTATTCGTAATTAGCTATTATAGTCGTCTGATTACATGTTAAATGACCTGTGCATTTTTAATTGAGATTATTGATATTGCCCAGAGTGAGAATTTGCAAGTTATTATTAGGGCTTTTCTTCCCCGCGGCTCTGTGAATTTTCATGACATTTGCTGTTATTGTCTTCCTTTCGTGGCCTTATGATGGTCCTTCTGGCCGGATATTAGATTCACTACTCAATTCTTTTACCGTTACGTTTTCGATAGGAAAAATGGCTGAACAGATTGGAAAAACAAAGCCAGTAGTGTCTTTTGAATATGAGCTCTTTGAAGGAGATCCCGATCACCTTAGAACCGTTGTGGCTACACCTACTCCGGATGGTCCGTGGATTGAGCCAGCGTCATTGAAACTTAAGTACAGAATTGGCCGAGGGCCTTTCGGTGATGTTAGGTTAGCGACCCATCACCAGTCATCTCATGATTTTGATGAATATCATGAGCTGGCTCTTAAGGTGTTGCATCCCTTGGAGAAGGACCACATGCAGAAGTTCCTGGACAAGTTTGAAGAGCTATTTTTCAAGTCCAGAGGGTTCCATAACGTTTGTTGGCTGCACGGTATCTCAATTATCGACGGAAAGGTGTGTCTTGAAAATAAACTCGATGCTGTCGTCTAGTCTGTAGTTTTATTTCTTTACTCCTATATTTGGCATATAAATACTTGTCTGTTAATGAGGTGTTGGCTTAGTAATAATCTCTTGGCAGATCTGCATTGCTATGAAAGTTTATGAGGGATCAGTGGGTGATAAAGTGGCCCAACTTAAGGGTGGCAAGCTTCAACTATCTGATGCTTTAAGGTTATCGTTTTAGATCACATTCTTCTTTGTGGTTCACCATGTTGTTGAAAAAGGTATAATCTTAGAATTCGAATGCTTACAGGCACGGGGTACAGTTAGCAAAAGGAATTCTAGAATTGCATTCAATTGAGGTTCTGGTGCTGAATCTGAAACCTTCTAATATTCTTCTGAATGAAAACGACGAAACAGTACTAGGAGATTTTGGGATCCCATATTTACTTCTTGGAATGCCATTACGTAGTCCAGATTTGGTTCTCAGACTTGGAACTCCAAACTACATGGCCCCAGAACAGTGGGAACCAGAAGTGAGAGGTCCTGTATCTTTTGAGACGGATTCATGGGGCTTTGGGTGTTGCTTTGTGGAGATGTTGACTGGTGTTCAACCCTGGTCTGGCAAGTCAATTGAAGAGATATATCATTTAGTTGTGATCAAGAAAGAAAAGCCACATATTCCAAGTGGCTTACCTCCTGCCATTGAAGGTGTTATTAATGGTTGCTTTGAGTATGATCTTCGTAATCGACCCTTGATAGCTGACATACTACATGTATTTGAAAGGTACTAATATTTAAGCCTTTTGTTGATTCTGCATTTATCTCTTAGTTCGTTGCATGCCGACTATTTTCATCTCAACATGCAGCTCGCAGAATGCTGTTCTCAGTGAAGGAGAATGGTTTGGTTCCAGAACCAGTGCACTTTCTGGAAGATCAAGAAGTGGTGGCCACACTGCATGGTATCTATCTAAAGATCATCTTCTAGTTGGTGATATAGTTCGCTCAAGAAAGCCTTTGAATGCCCGCAAACCTCAAACCATGGATGTCCCAGAAGGTACTGTGGTTAGTCTAGAGAGCAACTCTGAGAGAGAGAGTTTTGTTCTGGTGAAGCTTCCTGGAGTTCGGAACCCTGTAAGAGTACTCACCTCGACTATAGAGAGGGTCACATCTGGCTTTGCAATGGGCGATTGGGTGCGCTTGAAGGGGGATTCCGGAAAACACTCTCCCATTGGAATCCTTCATTCTATCCAGCGCGACGGGGGAGTTGTAGCTGGATTTATTGGTTTAGAGACTCTTTGGAGAGGACAATTAACTGATCTCCAAATGGCGAGCACTTACTACATCGGACAGTTCATAAGGCTAAAAGAAAATGTCCGTTCTCCTCGCTTTGAATGGCCTCGCAAGAGCGGTGGAGCGTGGGCCACCGGCAAGATCTCGCAAATCCTTCCAAATGGTTGTCTTGTTGTGAAGTTCCCCGGAAGGTTTGTGCTTGGAGATGAACCTCATTGCTTCTTGGCGGATTCAGCTGAAGTGGAATTGGTGTCCTTTGATACCTGTTCTGGAGTGGTGCACAAGTATCAACATGTTGAAGATTTCCACTGGGCAGTGAGGCCACTTGCAATCGCACTTGGTTTGTTTACAGCCATGAAGTTCAGCTTATTCGTCGGACGAACTGTGAGCACAGGGCTGAAGAAGGGCAGGAGGAATTCGGTTCTGCATAACGATAGTTGTCAGGATGGCCAGTCTGGAAGCACTGCAGCTTGGCTTCCACCACCAGTTGCAAATCTCTTCAAAGATGGTGCTACTGCTAGGTAATCTTTCGCTGCCCTTGCTTTGGGGTTGTCTGCCAAACCTATGGAAAAAGCAACAAAGTTAATTCAGAGTGGAACGTAGGAAGGGCTTCAGCTTATTTGCGTTGACTCGAAGGTCATGTTGTGCTGGCATCAAATAAATAAATTGTTGTATGTAATTAATCCGACTGTTTGTATATGTATATTGAAGCGCACATTTACATGCTGTCAATGTGTATATATGTGTGAAAATTTGAAACCGATTCTCACTTTTCACTGTATCAGCATTTTCCATGATCCTTTGTGTAAAGGGCAAAAAACATCGAAGACATTCGGTCATCTCACTCTTAACATGTTGACCTTTTAATATGAAAGTCTAATACATCTTAAGCCGTTGATCTTTTAAGATGAAAGTTTAAGAGACGTTTGGTTCATAAATTAGAATCATGTAATTAAAATTATTTTTGATTTACGTGTATTTTTTGTGAGAGAAAATACTGTAGTGAACCATGAACCATGATTCAAATCATGGTTTGAATCCTTCAACCAAACATCCCTTTAAGGTTTTGTTCGTTCGAGTTAAGAATTTGAATTAAAAAGTGAATTTATGTGGGTCATTATAATAGAAAAAATTGAATTTAAATTTTCATGAGAGTAAAACCGTAATAAAAATAAATTTGAGTTGTCATTTAAACTAAGGAAACTAAGGAGGCATTATAAGAGGCAATTTCTTTTGGTTCAAACATCGAAGGATAGTCAATGCTTGTTGTAGTCGTGGCATAATTTTGACTTGGATTTTTGGTATAACATCACTGTGGATGGTTATGTGAGGTTATTATGTTCGTGTAATGGTGATTGTTTGTGCGCGTGTTGTCGTTTGTGATGAATCTTGTGCGAATTTGGGATCGAGTGCCATCAAGCTTTACAAATTATAGAGCATCATAAAGTTGGCAATCATAAAACAACTTATCCCAGATCGATATTTTCGATTTGTTTTTGGGTAATATGTTGTTGTTCTGTGATATTATCATCGTCTGAGTAATGATGTCGAACTTTGTATGGGTGTTTGTAGATTAAATTATACTGATTATGAGTTAATTCTCAATCAATCTATTGCTGCAGATTAATTAAATCTTAATCCATCACCAATTCATGAGATCCTAATCCAATCCAATCCGAAAATAATGGATTCCGCATATTGGATTATGCGGATTTACATACATTATGAACCTCGACTCTTATAACCCCTATCTTTTTAATATTCTCATGAAATTAATAATAAAATTAAACACAAACATAACATAACATAAAATTAAAATAGTTTCATAAAATCTAATTTATTACAACACAAAATCTAATATAAAGTTCAAAGTTTTGACACAAAATATAACATATAGAAAAATATAATTGAAATGTGGTTTGGATTTGCGGATTATGTAGATTGAGAAATACTAAATTTGCAATTTAATCTTAGGGAAAAATCTCCATTAGTTACCAATTCAAAACTCTTTTAATCCAATCAAATCTAACGGAATTGGATTGAATTATGCAGATTGAATGAATTCGCAGATTTAATGAGCACCCCTTCTTTGCTATGCACATTTTTATAATTTATTAGCATGAGGGATGTACCTCAGGCACAACCTTTTTTTATTTATTTTTTAACATTCATTTTTGGCATTAAGAAAAATAGAGAGTAAATTAATATGAACTCCACTAATTGATCTTGATATACCAATATATCGATATTAATGTTACACTGTTAAATTATGAGTTTAGATTTATTAATAAATATTAAAGTTCAATTAGTATTAGCGTAGTTTTACCCATCAATAAAAACAGTTAACAAATGTACTTTTAATATGTTAACTTTCTATACTAGTCATGTATTAATACATTAGAATAACAAGTCAAATAATAGCATTAAAATTTAAAAAGTTATACAAACAAGGCTTAAAAAATAAAATAGAATGAAAAAAATAAAATAAACAAACAAGATTAAAGTATGAGGTGTGAGAGAAAAGAAAAATCATGCAAGCAATTAAATAGTAACATGTCTAAACTCATAATCCTAATTCTCTCTTATTTTGAGGAAAAAAAAAACTTTGGAGACATTTGAAAAAAAATTAATTTAGCGTCATATTAGTTTAAAAAATTTATATTTAGGGTCATATTTGTGTGAACAATATTTTAAAAGATTGCCAAAAAAAGATGTTAAATAGCAACATATCTAAGGAGAAAGAGAAAAGAAATTAATGATATAATTAAGAACACATTTACTAAAAAAATGCCAAAAAAAAAAAACTCAAGTGCAAAACAAAAACAAGAGGCATCCCCACTTATATAATAATTATAGATTATAGATCGATTGGAGAAACACCATAGTCACTTGAAATCAAATACCATATAGTCACTTGAAATCAAATACCATATAGTCACTTGAATTCTTTCTCACTTTCTATCTTTTCCAATTGTCATGTCTCACTTTTCAAGAAAATTTAAACATTGAGTGCCTTTATTTGAAAGGGTCTGCATGGTTCAAACTGTGATTCTTGGTTCTGTTATAATTTTTTTCTCTCACAAAAAATTTGAATTTTAAAAATTAGAATAATGAATTATGATTGAACTCATGAACCAAACACACCCCTAATTTTGTTGCTCACTAAATTAAAACCTAATTAAAGATCGTTCCTATTTCCTTTTACTATACTTTGTCACAATTTATAATTGCCAACCAACTGCGTCACTTTTTTTTTTTTCAAGGAAGCATTTGATAAAATTATATATTTTTTTATTGTCTTTTTTAGTTTTTGAAATTTAAAATTTGGTATCAAATGAGAATTTTTTTTCCTAAAAATTGTATGAAGATTGGATTAGTTATATTGACTAATGTATGTATTAATTTTTAATATATAGATTTTGTAATCAGTTTTGTTTTTTGACATTACTTGTGGGAAGATCAATACTTTCAAGTACGTTGATGATATCTAAACGTTTACCATCCAAAACTTGAAAACCCAACAAAATTTGCATTCCACAACATAAGAATAATAACAACAGCGTCGTATTATTAATTCAAGCCACACAACTTCTCTTAAAAATAAAAATAAAAAAGAAGAAGAAAGAGACAAAAATCAATTTCAAATTTAAGACGTCTTGTTTTTATACATAACGGAAATATATGATTCTAGCAAATATATTATCGGTGGTGGTAGGAAACTTATAACAGCCTTTAACAGTTTGTAATACAACTAATCCTATTTTAATATGCAGTTCTGTATCTTAATTTTGACAGCTGAAAAGACAAAATAAAAAATGCAAGGGGATTTTTGTCAAAATTTTTTATTCCACAAAAAAAAAAAAAAAAAGAAAGTAACAAAGTTGATAATTATAAAGAACATAAAGGTGTAATAAAAAGAAAAATAATGGTATTTAGTTAGGTTTTTTTTTTTTTTTTTTTTTTTTTTTTGAGATGTGGGAGGCGTGTGATAATTAAAGAAAATAATGAGTGAGAATGAAAGTAATATTTCTGTTAGTGAAGAAATTAGAGTATGCTCACGACTCAAGTTGAAAACTTGATTTATTTACGTGAGAGAAGACGTTTTAAAAAATTAAATTTAAATTTTTATAAGAAAAAAAATTAAAATAATAAAATTTGAGTTGTTACAGTGGTCGGAATATAAATATCAGTAATCAAGAGTAAAGCTCTTCAGAGCCTTCAAAATCATTTCCAGAAAATTCTTTCTGTTTGTCTATTTCAAATGAACCTAGCATTTAATGGCTTAGATATTTGTCGATTCCTATTGTTAATGTCGTTCTCCCCATTTGCAAAATTTGTCTTCGCATGCTTGAGTGTCGTTTAATTCTATACTTCCGTGTTTCTAGTTAATTCCCCAGTGTTATTTTACGGATATACGGCCGTTTTTACCGGATTTGTGTGTGGATGGATGTTGTCGTTTAAAAGAAAAAAAAAATTCTGTCCTTCGTTTTCATGAACATGGTGTTTTCTTTTCGTGACGTTACTGTCGTTTTTAATGGTATAGAACCCTTCTCTTTATTTATGTCATTATCGTTTTCACGGCCTTTTCGGGCTCTCTCTCTCTCTCTCTCTCTTTTTTTTTTTTTTTTCCTTTCATAAAGCTATTGTTGTAGATCTCTCTTCTCTTTAACATCGTTATGATATCTTTGTTAATTGGTAAGATGTAGTTTGATAAGTTTTTTGTCGTTATTAGTATTCATGAGTTGTCGTTTATTTCACCCCCAAATTTAATTCGCAATTACATAAATGAAAGACGCTCCAAGCCATAAAATTACAAATGAATTTTATTTACGCCTTTTGAAATGACCAAACTGGCCGGATAATATCTTTATTATTCTCGCCTAAGCTTTGATAATCCAACCGGGAAGTTTGAATGTTTCCTTTTACAGCGCAGTTTCTCGGCTTCAAATATTTAAAACAAAGCCATAAAATTTATTAGCTGATTTAGGGAGGAACACAATGATGAATGCAATGTAATCTCTCTCAACTTTCTCCGTTTCTTTCCTTTTGCTTTTTTGATTTGTATTTCTGTTTATCTACGAAACAAAAATAGAGAAAAACTGGAACTTTCTTTTCTTTTCTTGCTGGGAAATCAAGCGACAAAGGTCTAGACGTTTTTCTTTTGTTGTTTAGCGTTTTTTTTCCCTTTGATAACGAAAGAGAAAGTGGAACGTGATTTGATCAATTGTGGTGCGTTTGGTTGACAAGAAAGTAAAGGAAAGGAGGTGCTACTAATTTCCCAAGTTTTCTTTCTTGTTTTCCCTCACTTTCTCACCGTGGAAAATTTAATTCTCCAGGAAGGAATTCGAAGAGGATGAGCGTGAAGAAAGAAAAGAAGACGAAGGAGGGATGTTGAACACAGAAGAGGGTGGCGATGAGAGTGATTGTTGTTTGGCAGAGACATTCCCCTGCATGAGATTGCACAAGCGAGGTTCAGCCAAACGAGGTAAAACCCAGAAATGTTTTCGCTTTTTTTTTTTGGAGTATTTATTTCGAAAATAAGATCGACCATGTTAAGGAAACAAGATTTGTGTAAAATATAGAGAACTGAATTATAACTTCTCTTCCTTGATTTTGATTTCTTTTTTATTAAAGAAAATAAGAAGATTGTGTATGCTTTTTCGGGTGAAGTTTTGAAAACGTTTAACTTTCAATGTGTAACTGGTTAGTTGGGTTGTAGACGCAAATTAGTCATGTTTAAGAGACTGTTGAGAGACCATTTTCTGAGTTCAGTCTTTGTGTATACAATTGATTTTTTTTTTTTTTTTTCATTTGTTACTGAATTGAGGTTGTTTGCTTACTTGTAAGATTGTTGGGGGGAGGAAATATTTCTGTCAAATGGACCAATTGGACCAATTGATCAAATTCACATCAAAGCCCTTTTAAAGATTGTATTTTTCTTGATTATTTTTGCATAAATCTTTGTGTATATTATTATCTGCTAACAGTTATTGTGACTACCAAGTGAAGGGTTCTCCTGGGAGAAGTATGACCAATGGAGGCAAAAGCAAAGGCACAGAGCTGCAAGGCTAGGAAAGCAGCTCAAGGCAAGGTGGGAACTCGAGGAGCTAATCGAAGAACAACTGAAGAGCTTTTATGTCCACTACCACAGCGCCATGGTCCCAACCCAACTCAAGGACATCCCGCAACTCCTCATGCCCAAATGGGCTCTTCCATATGAGCTGGCTGCCATGTCTTGGCTCGGAGATTGGCGGCCCTCTGCCATTTTAGAACTCGTGCTTGGCCTAGTTCGCTCCTCAGCATCATCAGAATTGTCATCATCGTTGTTGTCCTCCTCCTATGCTGATTCTCCCGGTGCTGAGCAGCTCTTGTTGCAGCTCATTCACGAGATTCGTATTGAAGAGAAGGTACTTGATGGGGAGATGGCAGAGATTCAAGCCACATGCATTCTTCACCTTCCATTTGGCCCCATGAACATTAAATCGAGCGAATATGCCTTGGCATGTGTACAGTCTGTGTTCAAGACAATTGAACGGGTGATCACAAAAGCACAACATCTCAGGTCTAAATCGCTTTCTTCTGGCTATACAACAACTGCACTTACTGCAAAGAAAGCCACTTTATATAAGAATGACTGAAACCAGTTATTTGACATAATCTTATAGGTTCAAGGCATTGGAGTTGGTATTAAAGAAGGTGTTTAGCCCCATCGATGCAGCAGAGTTCTTAGTAGCGTTCGAGGAAATTCAAGATTCAATTCACCAATTCGCGGTGGACCAGACAGTACAAAAGGGTCCAGCCATGGTACCTCTCAGGACCTTGGGGTCAAGTTGACAGAGCAAAGGCATTCTGGGATTTCACCATGGAATCGGAATGTTTTCGAGAGAAGATGAGAGAACCATCTTTTCCAATGTCAACCTTTTCACTCGGTCTCTTTTGTTCGTTGCATCATGTAACTCACTTATATATTGTCTGGTGGAGCAACATTGTGTTGTCCAATTGTTCTGTCAAAGGAATTTGTAACAGATTTTACTTGAAAGAAATCTGTTGGCATGTAGCTGAGTTTGGAGATGTGAAAAGGCCAGATTTTGCACTTTGTGAAATCTGTCAAGGAATTTCTTTATCTATTCAAAGGTGAAATCTGCCAGATTTTGCATTTTGATTTTATTCAAAGGTGCCAACTTGCCAAGTTGATGTTTCTTCAATAACTCAGATCCTAACGTTTAATTTGAACTCTTCTGTTTCCTTATCAAAAATCTTTGTAAAAATTTTGTAATTGTTTTGAATTGTTTGATATTACGATGAAGAGAATGAAAACTTGAGAAAAGATTTTCTTGTTATCAACTGAATACAAAGGAGGCTTATATACATCTCCTGAATAACCGGGAAAGAAGAAAACCAAGAAAACAAATAAAACTAGCAAAACTAATTCTGTTAATCCTAACCAACTACACAGTTACTATATGCCAACTCAGCAATGCTAATTACAAAAATTAAACTTAAGTTAACAAACTTAATACTCCCCCTCAAGATGGAATATGAATATCCTTGATAGCCATCTTGCACAAAAAAGAACGAAGTAACGCAGGGGGCAAAGCTTTGGTAAAAGGATCGGCAAGCTGATTCTGAGACCAAACTGGCATGAGTTTGACCTGCCCTTTAATAACCATATCACGAACAAAATGGCAATCGACTTCGATATGTTTAGTCCTCTCATGAAAAATTGGATTAGAAGCAATATGAATTGCGGCCTGATTATCACAGAAAAGAACCGGAGGAGAAGGCAAGCCCCGGTGAAAATCAGACAAAAGTTGTCGTAACCAAACCAACTCACTCATTGTGACTGCCAGAGCTCTGTACTCAGCCTCCGCAGAAGAGCGAGAAACTGTCGTTTGTTTCTTGGATTTCCAAGAAACCAAAGAATCTCCCACAAACACACAAAAACCAGTCACTGATTTCCTAGAATCTGGACAAGAACTCCAATCCGCATAAGAAAACGCTTTCAACTGAAAAGATGAATTGACAGAATAGAAAAGACCTTGTCCTGGGCTGGCTTTAATGTAACAAAGTAAGTGATGAACAGCCTGTAAATGTGTCTCCCTTGGCTTGGATAGGAACTGACTTAATTTGTGAACAACAAACACAATATCAGGATGAGTAATGGTGAGGTATAACAAACGACCTATCATCCTTTTGTATTGTGAAGCATCCGGCAAGAGAGAGCCTTCGTCAGCACAAAGCCGAATCTTGGCATCCATCGGTTCAGCAGCAGGTTTACAAGCCAGATAACTCGAATCTTCAAGTAACTGTAAGGCATAATGTCTTTGAGAAAGAACCAAACCTGCAGAAGAGCGTGCTATCTCGAGACCAAGAAAAAATTTCAAATGGCCTAAATCCTTGAGCTTTAACTGATCATGAAGAAATCGCTTTAAACCATCAATGATTGTCAAATTTGGTCCAGTGATGATAATATCATCAACATAAACCAACAAGGCAAGAAACGAATCACCATCACCCATAGTAAACAAAGAATAATCGGACTTGGACTGAATAAAACCAAACTTGACTAAAGCACAAGCAAGCTTGGAATTCCATTGTCGCAAAGCTTGTTTAAGACCATATATGGACTTGTTAAGCTTACAAACCAATCGGTCACCATTGGACTTATGCTCCCCCGGACGATTATACCCAAGAGGAAGATCCATGTAAACCTCCTTAAACAAATCACCATTGAGAAAGGCATTATTGACATCCATTTGAAATAGATGCCACTTTTGGACTGCAGCCAAGGCCAACAAGACTTTGATAGTGACTAACTTAGCCACAGGAGAAAAAGTCTCAAAAAAATCAACACCCTCTTGTTGTGTAAAACCCTTGGCCACTAGACGTGCCTTAAAACGATCAATTGAACCATCAACCTTGTGTTTAATCTTGTACACCCATTTACAGCCAATCGAATGCTTCCCTTTAGGTAAAACAACCACCTGCCAAGTGTCATTTGTCTCCATAGCTAGTAATTCTTCTTTCATGGCATCCCTCCATTCAGCATGCTTAACAGCTTGATGATAAAACTGAGGTTCCAGAGTAGAAGAGACATTCATAACAAACTTTCTATGGTAAGAGGAAAGCTTGCTATAACCAAGCACCTTGGACAGGGGATAGAGAACCGTGGATAAGGAATCCAGTAAATGGTTACAATGGAAGTCCTGTAAATAAGAAGGAGTCCGAACAGATCTAGTGGATCTTCTTAGAAAGGAATCATCCATCTCAGGGACAGGCAGCAACTGAGGAACTTCAGAAGCAGGGACCTCCAGATAATTGGTAACAGAAGAGTTTGGCAAAACCAAGTCTGGAAATGGATCAATGAACACATCATTGGACCCTGTAGAGTGAAAGGGAAAAATCTCCTCATGAAACACAACATCCCTTGAGATAAAAATCTCCCTGGATTGTAGATCCAGTAATCTATATCCTCTGACACCAGGCGGGTAACCAATGAACATGCATGCTCGTGCTCGAGGCTGGAATTTTGTTCGATGAGCTACTAGAGTAGATGCAAAAACCAAACATCCAAAAACTCGAAGGAAAGAATAATCAACCCCATCATCATACAACAATTCATAAGGAGACTTATTAAGTAACAAGGGGGAAGGAGTTCGGTTGATCAAAAAAGTGGCAGTGAGGATGCACTCACCCCAAAACTGGATTGGAACCCATGACTGAAAAAATAGAGCCCGAGCAACATTCAACAAATGTTGATGTTTCCTTTCAACAACGGAATTCTGTTGAGGTGTGTCCACACAAGAAAATTGATGAAAAACCCCTAGTTTGTCAAACAACTCAGTAAATGCTAACTCCCGTGCATTGACTGTCCTAAACTTTTTGATTTTAGCATTAAACTGAGTTTGTACCATGTTACAAAACTAAGGAACTATGGAAAGAACATCAGATTTTTGTCTAAGTAAATAGACCTATGTAAACCAAGTACAATCATCAACCAAGGTTAAAAAACATTTATAGCCGGCATGAGAGGGAATATGATAAGCACCCCATATATCACAATGCACTAAATCAAAAGCAGAGGTTGACAAATGATTATGAGAATCAAAAGACAAACGGCGTTGTTTAGCTAGAGGACAAACATAACAAGGACCGTAATTATTAAGCTTGGAAATATCTACATTCAACAGCTTTTGCAAACATATGAGCCTTTTAAAAGATAAATGGCCAAGCCTATCATGCCATGTCTTGGCAGTGACATTATTAACAAACGAAAGAGAACCTGAATTAGAATCTGTGGACAACCGGCCACACTTATTTGCATCCAGCAAGTTTGCATCCAGCAAGTATAGGCCATCTAGTACATCACCCCTGCCAATCGTCTTCGTGCTGTTGATATCCTGAATCATAAAAGAATCAACCATAAACTTCAAAGTAACCTTTGAATCATTGGTCAGGGCACTCACTGAAATCAAATTGAACCTAAACTGTGGCACAAAAAGCACATCTTTAAGAATAATCCTTGAATTTATCTTCACATCACCACACATAGAAACATGTATACTAGTGTGATTGGGCAACATGACACTAGATTTCTGTATAGGCTTCAAAAAAGTGAAAAATTCAGCCTTTGAGCATATATGCCGTGAAGCTCCAGAATCAACAATCCAATACTTGGAAAAAGATAAAACAGCACTCAAAGCTACTGTTGAATAGGTACCTGTAACGCAAGTGACATTTGACACCTCAGGTTGATCATTAGCCATCTTAGAAGACTGGGCCAATTGGCTGGACAGCAGGGCCAGCAACTGATGGCACTGGGCTGAACTCAGCTGTTGCACTGGGTTGCTGGAATTCTGTGTCTCCATATTGACTTCATTGCCTGAAACCTGATGCACAAAACCGTGTTGCTGCTCACCATACCATTGCCTTGGCTTGAATCCTGGAGGATAACCATGTAGCTTGTAGCACTTGTCAATAGTATGACCACGAAAATTGCAATGAGTACATAGCAGTCTTTCCTTCTTGTAAAAACGTGAGCCTCCATTATTTTGAACATTAGATTTCTCAGACTTGTGTTCATCTGACTTTGCAGCAAAAGCCATGGTACTAGCTGTATCCGGACTAGTAATACTCCCAATAGATCGTTGGCGTTCTTCTTGAACAGCAAGTGCAAAAACTTTATTAATTGGAGGCATAGGATCCATGAGCAACAATTGACCTCTAATCTGGGAATAGGATTCATTCAATCCCATGAGAAAAGACATTATGTGCTCCATCTGGTAATGTGCAACAAGGTCACGTACTCCACCACACGTACACTTTCCACAAGAGCAAGAGGGTCAAAAATTGCTCAATTCATCCCAAAGTGTCTTCAATTTCGTAAAATACACACTGACCGTATTTTGATCCTGCGCCAAATTTACCAACTCGTGACGTAACTGGAAGATTCTTGGACCATTACTCTGCTGAAACCTATCTTTCAGATCCAACCAAATCTCAAGTGCAGACTCAGAAAAAATGACACTTGCCGAAATCTCCTTGGAAACTGAATTCAAAATCCACGAAATTACTATGTTATTGTTCCTAATCCAGGAATTTAGCAGATTTGGATCATCACCTCTTGGTCTCCTAATGGAACCATCAATAAACCCTAATTTGTTCTTAACGGAAAGACCAATCAGCATAGCCTGACTCCATGAGGCATAATTGTCTCCTGTAAGAGGTTGAGAAACAAGAGTCAAACCTAGACCATCCGAATGATGCAAGAAGTACGGACTCGAAGGATCATCAATGGCGGACCTGCCATTTTCTACTCTGGAATTCGCCATCAACAAGAAGCAGAGGAATAACGGATCCAAGAAATCAACAAAAATCGATCGGAGAAGACAACGACCAGAAGAATGAAGAATTGAACAGATCAAGAAAAAATTTGATCAGAAAAAGCGGAGCGTTCTTCGCTCTGATACCATATTACGATGAAGAGAATGAAAACTTGAGAAAAGATTAATCTCATTTCTTGTTATCAACTGAATACAAAGGAGGCTTATATACATCTCCTGAATAACTGGGAAAGAAGAAAATCAAGAAAACAAATAAAACTAGCAAAACTAATCCTGTTAATCCTAACCAACTACACAGTTACTATATGCCAACTCAGCAATGCTAATTACAAAAATTAAACTTAAGTTAACAAACTTAATATTTGATCAATTTTTTTCCCAATTTGTATGTATGCAGAACAAACTGCAAATATAAAATTTGGATCAATACATTAAAGTCTCGTTCATTTCACCGTTTCTAATTTTGCTACAGTTAAAAGCTCTTATAAACAGTCACATTTAACTTTTTTACTACAATTAAAAGCTCTCATATAAAATCACATCTCAACTCAAATTAAAAACTCAAATAAGCGAATTGAACGAGGCCTAAAAATTAATTTATTCCCATTCTTTGTTTGCTGAAACTATATTCAATGTATATCATGTTATATGTGAAGGAGACGGAAAAATTACCTAATTCACTATTTTTTTTTCTCTTAAAAAGAAGAAAGAGCTTTGTCACTCGTCAGCATACATTTTGTTTCAATTTTTTTTTTTTCAGAAGTACATTTTGTAACAATTTAGAGATTATACGATTATGGTTCTTTTCCTACTAAATAGGCACTTGATATATATATATATATATATATACACAATTAAATCGGCTCTTGATATGGTAACGTAGATTTTTTTTTTTTTTTTTGAGAAATATTGTATGTAACGTTTACTAGCGCCCTTCAAAATGGTCAAAAAGAAAATATTAATTAAGATGAATTATAGGATGATCCATCATCATAAAAAAAGAATTATAGGATAATCCCCAATTTATTAATTTCCTGAATTATCCTTTTCTCCTCTAGTTCCAAGTTCCGACAAGGGTTTCTCGTGGAAGCTGACGTGGCACGTTGACCTCTCGAAAGGGACATCTACGCGATCGTAAGCGCGTGACGTTCCCTGTGCTTCCTCCTTCCCCACCACCGTATATATTGCGAACCTCCATTGCTTTTCCATACTCGGACAAAAAAATTAAATTAAAAAAAAAAAGTGAGTAAAAACCTAACCCCAAAGAAAACCCAAACCCTGACCTGAACGGGCAAATCTTGCCTTGCACAATCGTCGCCAAAACCCTAAAGCCTAATTCTCTGCTTCGCGGTGGTTCATCGGTGGTTGAATCGGCGGTGGTCGGAGATTTGCGATTGGAAGAGAGAGAAAGAGGAGAGAGATTTGATTTTGAAACGATGTCTGCAGCGGTGTGCGGAAGCAAGAGATCCTTCTTCGAAGATCTTCCTCCATCGCCGCCTCTCTCGAAGAGGCTTCGGTGCTCTTCTTCGACCTCTCCCATTCGCTTCTCCGCACCTTCTCTCCTGGATCAGCTTCGCGCCGTTTTCCCTTACATCGAAATCCAGGTGCTCAATCCCTCTTTCTTTCTCTTTGCGTATGTTTTGATTCACTTTATATCTATAAAGTGAATTTGAAATATGTGTTTTTCTTGTTCTATTAGGATTAGTTATGATTTTATTCAATTTCGAGTTTGGTTCTTTTTTGTTTTATTTACGCAATTTTTTTCCTCTATAGGCTCAAATTTATGTATACAAGGAATTTAAAATTATGTGTTTTAATATTAGGATTCGCTAGGGTTTTATTTGAGTTCCATTATAATTCAGTTTGGTTCATATCCGTATTTTGCAACTATAAATAGACCACTTCAGACCTTGATGGTTGCTATTGAATAACAAGATTTACTCGCTGGGTCTTCTCTCCCGTTCTTTATTTTGTCTTGGTCAGAGTGTTCTTGAATTGGTGCTGTTTGGCTGCTAAGAAAGTTGGTGAAAGAAGCTAATTGATTATCTTTTGAAATTTAATTTGAGAAAGATTGTCAATTTGATGATTAGGTTTTGGAGTCCATATTTTTGACAGCATGCTTTGTTAACGGTGTTTTATTGGTTTGGCCAAACAACCTTTTGTGATATGCTATGGTTTCGTTTCTTCTTCTTCTTATCCTTTCTTTTTTTTTTTTTTTTTTTTTTTTGGTTTTATTTAATTTTTTTCTCCCCCCGGGTGTTCTTAAATTTATTTTTTTTT